CATTTCAGCTCTGTACTCTATTCCCCGACTGTGTTATGATATTATGGTGTTTATGAAAATGTATTTAAAAAAAGACTTGGAAAAAAATCTTTTAGCATTTGGCAGAATTCATATAATTCGGTTTTAATTCACATCAATTAATGAGGTTAAAAAGGAGAGCTCTTCAATTATAAATTGTGTTCATTATTTTTGCATGATCATCATATTTGCTGAATCTGGTCAAAAGTCAAATAGGAAACCCACATAGAGACATAACATTGCAATGAATATTTCCCAATTATTCATGTATTAAAAACTGGTTTTGGTCTAAAAAAGATTTCACCCCAACATTTAGTGCTTTGTATTGAGGTCGTCAATGAGAAATTTCTCATTTTCCAGAAGGATTTGGTAGAAGATATCTTTGCTAGCAGCACCAGCTTTCAGGCAACCGCAGTAGAGCTCTCTCATCTTCTTCTGAGAGGTCGGCAGAGCTCTGATTGTATCGTAAGCCTCAGCTGGAGGACACCTCTATCGAGGAGCCGATCCAGAATGGGATCCATGTGGCTCACTCTGTCGGTGAGCTGGAGTTTATATTTATCCACAAAGTGTTGGTCTGAGAGAAAGGAGAAAAAAATAGTCAAGGACTGTTTGTAGTTTGAGATAACATAAAGCCAACTTGATAACTTTAGTCTGCAGAAAATAGTTGCATATTCTAAAAACCCCAAAATAAGCCAACATGGAGGTGCATTAGACATGCATTCTTTGTAATGGCCAGCAGGGGCCGACTTCAAGATCAAGATATCAAGATCAACTTTATCTTCCCCAAAGGGAAATCATTTTTGGACTCTGTCCTGCAGTTACAAGAGAGTGAAATACATAAATATAGATCATACAAAACATAAAGCATTTCATGTAACAATTCCATATACATAAAAACACCTTCTTGCAGCAGTAACATTTGGCATATTGCACGGACCCTGGGCACATCCTACATTACCTGTCATTCAGAATATTAACGGACATTGGCACAAATGAATGTTTGTAACTGTTCAGCCGGGTCTGAGGGACCCTGACTTCACCCAGAGGGGAAAAGCTGAAACTCAGAGTGAAGAAAGAAGGTAGGATCAGACACTATTTTCTGTGCCTGACTTCACTTGTTGAAAAGAAAGAAAATGTATTGTTTAGAAGAAGAGAAAAGGGTTTCTCTCATTTCTATATTACAAGAGGAGCGATCTTATTCTTAAAGAGTGCTTTAAAAAGTATCATCTGTAATTACTGTTTGTGTGTAGATTACCTTTGATTATCTAGCATTACTTACACTTTCATATCCAACATATATCATAAGAGAAAAAATACACACTGTCTGTTTTATTCCAATATTGTGCAGCCCTACTTGTCAGCCAGTGAGCTGTAGATCTGCTGGAAGACAGCTTTTTTTTAGCCATCAAGATGTTTGCCCTTACCTCCAGTCCTGATGCTAATCTAGCTGAAGCCAACTCTACTTATATCATAGTGGTATAAATATTCTCATCTAACCCATAAAAATAATGCACATCTTTTCAACTCGTCAAAATATTCCTTTATACTCATTAGTAGCAATTATCAGCTTTCTGTTTCTTGAGCCTGAACTCTGTTTAGATCAGAAAAGTTTGGCTTGTTTGAAATATCCACCTCTGTGGTGAATTACAAAGTGACCTTTACAGTCAGATACTGAAGATATGATCCATGACTTCTTTCATGACAGCCTTATACGACGTGTCCTCCTACCATCTGATGTGGTATCTACACCAGCTGCTCCGGCTGAGGGTCTTGCAGCTAAAAACAAAAACAGAGAAAAGGATTGGATTGGTTTTAGACTCCCCCCCTTCCCCCTTCCCACAGGACAAACTGAAAACAGGAAAACAACTCACTGTCTCTGGTCCCGGGTTTTGAGTCAAGTCCAGCTATCACTGTAACTGCAATAAAAGGACACAGTGTCAGTATGTGATGGAAACAAAACAAACATAACTGTGAGGTTTGTACATCTGTAGATGCAACCTGGATTATGCTATAGAGAGGTGAAGTCCCTTCTCTTCATGGTGGACCACCAGGACCAAATTAAGGACATTTATTTTAATTAACTTTTCATGGCAAGTCGATTGTTTTCATTTTTGAATTGCCAATAAATGAGTTTTCAAGATTTTAAAAGATGTTTCTTTGTTGGCCTTTTTAACCTTTATTGATAGGACAGCTGAAGAGACAGGAAATTTGCAGTCGACATGCATCGCAGGTCTGAGCTTTGGAGTTGAACCTGCAGTCGATTCCTCAAGGACTGTAGCCCATGGGGCGGCCTGCTCCCTCAACTGAGCTAAAGTGTCTTCCAAAGGGTTGTCGGTTTGAAGGTTCATTTCTCAATCTCATAAGGTTTGGAGTTCTACTGTAAACGTATTAGTCAGTGAAAATACATCAGTGGATTTCTAAGTTTTGGATGTTCACAGGACTTTTTTTTTAAAGGTTTATTGTGGGCTTTTTGTGCCTTTATTGTAGAGACAGGACAGTGGAAAGAGTCGGAAATCAGGGAGAGAGAGAGAGTGGGGAATGACATGCAGGAAAGGAGGCAGAGGTCAGATTCGAGCCTGGGCCACTTGGAGGACTATAGCCTCTGTACATGGTGCGCACGCACTAACCAATGAGCCACCAGCGCCCCCATAAGATTTGAAATACTCAAAAGCACAAATCTTTTTTTTTTAAACATGAATCCTAATAAATTAAAACATATGTCAAAGAAAATCCACACACTATGAGTGCTTCCATTGGGCATTTGTGTATTTTTAATGACACTGCTCTTTTATCTGTATCTATAATCCTTGTTGGTGTAGCCACCTCTTGAGAAGCAGGGAGCAATGTATCGCTATTGCATCACGATAAGAATTATATTATAAAGAGATTAAACTTGAAGTAGAACCATCACTTCCAAAATCATTGAGACTAAATCAACAAAAGTTTAGGAGGGACTATCACTGAAATATCACATGTAATTCTTTACTGAAAATCCAATATATTTGACCGTTTTTAAGAGGGAAATGAGAGCTACTGCTTGGAATGGAGGAAATCTCGTGGTGGTTAATCTTTATTATAGACGATCTTTGGTCAGCGAAAGCGAAAGTAAAAAGGGAGCGGGCTCGTTCAAAAAGGCTACTTTAATTTGTGTTATAAACTATACTATTTCAACTACATTTTGTATGATTGCACAAAAAAAAAAAAAAACATATTTCTTAACGTTGTAGCCTAATTGTTGCTGATTTTTGTGATAATAGGCCACTTTGAATGTCCTGCAAAGCAAGCCCGACCTCATATGTGTTCTGCATGAAACCCTTTAGGTATAGTCACATATTTACCGAGTTCTTCTACTTCCTGCCCGCAGTTAGCACATCCCAACAACTCCACAGCCACCTTTACAGCTCCAGCCTCGGTAAAGGTAGAAACCAGGACGTCTGCGATCTGTAGGAAGTTTTTTCCCTCCACTTGTCTGCGCCGGACGCGCGGCTCCTCCCTGCGGTCCAACAGATGGCTGCAAAACTTGTCAAAGTTAGACTCTGACAGATTCTCCAGCATGTCTGCTAAAGCAGCTTTCTTGGTTTTGGGGGCCATTTTTCACCAAGGGGTGCCCCACGTCTTCAGTGACCGCGGTCTACCGATTGTCAACAGTACTTATTTCCGGATCAACCGCGTTAATGTATCTATCGAGAGACAATCGGAAACATGAGGGGGGAAATGGTGCCTTCAAGTGCAGTTGAAAATTTGAGTATCAATTCAGTAGAAGGGATGCAATCTATGCGCAAGGGTTAGTAAATTTAGCTCTCACTGCTGGCACACTTGTTGTTGTGGTTATTTCTATTGTAGTAATTCTAACTGCATCATTATCACGGGGAGAAAATGCAAACTCCACGCAGAGAGGCTCTGATCTTGTAAAACATACAATGAATTCATTAATTACATTTTTAAAAGGAACAAAGGTTGCTGTAGGTGCTTATCCAGTTTTGTTTCATACACTGGTCCAATAGGTGACGGTAATATAGGTTTCCAAACGCCACGTTTCCACGTTTGCACAAGCAATTTGATAAATTGTAAATTAACTACATAAAAGACAACAGTTGTCTGTCTAACAGGCCTCTGGATAGAAAAGCAGAGAGGTTCAAAGACTATCAGGGCTTCTACTGTTTTGAAACAATGCGCGTTCATGCACTCTCTGTATTGAAAGTGTTCAAGCCTCGATCTAATGTCCCAGCCTGTGTGCACATTAGCCAGTCCGTGGTCCCTCCCTGTCATTCACGAGTGGTGATAACAACTATGTGACTGCAAACTTCATAAATATTACATAGATAGCCTAATTATTATTCATTACAATGAATTATCGGCTGGTAGATTAATGGGTCGGGCTCTAATAACTGGAGGTAACTACACCTCTTATCTATTTTACTATTTAACTTTCAATGAGGCCATAAGCAATGAGTAAACATCCTGCTGTATTATGTAAGATGGATCTTGTTGTCTGATGGGTTTATGGTACCTGTCCCTACTTGAAAGTGTTCTTCAATACAGCTTGATGTTAATTCAGTCCATCACAGTTTAATTTTGTTTCAAATCATTGATAAAGCAGGGTGCTATATGTATGAGGGCATAGCTTCCTGGGTTTAACAATGACAAGAGACAAGAGGTGTAACAAAGTTCATGCACACTGTCCTCAACGGAGGTTCACATCATGCTCCCTTCAGACCAAGATGAGGACAGCCAAAATGATGATGAAGTAGTTCATTAAGTCATTTTGGTAATGTGTACTATTTTTTATAGGCTTACAGTTCATTTTACAGAGGTAGTAAGTTAAAAGAGAGCTCATGCAATCTCAGTAGCTATGAAAATAATAAAATAATAAAATGCATTTGTTCATTCATGTGATGTAACAGTGTACTGCACAATCATTTATTTTACAGATTCTTTAAGACAGCTGAATATTTTATTGTAAGCGATCAGTAAAATGGGTGTTGGCTTTGAGGAGCAAAGGGGCTGGGTTAGTTAAGACCCCATGAACTCGCCGTTATGTCAAACCTGTCTGCATCAGACTAGAGACAAAAACTACACAGCACAGGGCTGTCTTCGACTTCTGGATAATGGACGAGCAAAAAGTAGAAATGTGACTGGATTTTAATCTTGTTTTTAGGTTTGTCAGCTTACTAAGACGTCGACGATTTTCGGTAAGTGGAGGAATGTTTTGCTCAAACAGAGGAAGTGGGTTAAGTAACATCTAACTAGATAGACTGCAAATATAAGGGTTTTAGCTAAATGCCATAATTATCAGAGTACATTAAACCAGGAAGCTGAAGTTGGTTTTAAGTTGGATATTCGAAACCACGAACCAGCCACGTAAACCTCCCAGAGAGAGAGAGATAGAGAGAGAGAGATAGTAGGAGGACGGCAACCTCTCCCTCTACCTCGCCCTAACCGAGCTGTGTGTGTGTGTGTGTGTGTGTGTGTGTGTGTGTGTGTGTGTGTGCGTGTGCGTGTGCGTGTGCGTGTGCGAGCTATTTTTAAAAATGTTTAATCAGAGTGTGATGACATGCTACTTGTCAATAACTCTGGTATTTATGAAATGAAATAAAAGGATCCAATCAAATATGTACTTTCTGTAAATGGCACTCGTCATAATCTGCATATTCTGTGATGTTATCTTTTGTTTTCCAGCTTGAAAAAATGACGACACGTAGGATGCTGTCTGAAACATTGGAACATTTGAGTTCTGGGGAGCTTGAGGATTTCTGCCTACATGTTGAATTGGAGAAAGGTGTCCCCCTCCTCTCAGAACCCGATCTAAAATCAATATGCCCAGAGAAAATAGAGGAGCTGATGGTGAAGAGATACAGCGAGGAGGAGTGTGTGAAGTTGACCAGAAATATCTTAAAGAAGATGAACAGGACTGATCTCGTGAAGAGATTGCTTGACGACAGACGGGAGCCCGAAGGTTAGACAAACACAAAGTCTTCACACAATACAGTCAAGGCATTTTAAAAGTTCTATATTTCAATTAATGAGGAAAGCAAAACCGTCACTTTACAAAAAGAGCAGGTAAATATCTTACTCTTTGTTATATTATCTACAAAGACCCAACATTAATCCATCACGAGCACCAAGAAACATTTACTGCTCTGTGTGCCTTTGAATTGTCCCCCGGGGATAAAATAAAGTTTTTTCAATTGAATTGAATTAGCAAAGTTACAGTGGAAAGGAAAAAATCCTTTAAGAGCAGAAACCTCGAGCTGAACCAGACTCATGATGAACAGCCGTCTGCTGAATCTGTGTTGGGTTTGGAAAGTGGGATAGAGGGAGATGCAGAAAGAGGGATAGAAATAAAATTGGTTTTCTTTTCCATTTATTTTTTCCTCAGAAGAACACTCTATGGATGAAGAGCCGCTTTCACTGACCCAGAGGGTGAGTATGTCACATCACTCTGACTTCACACAGCGTCACTATTATAGAGTCCACCTCGAACATTTCAATTAAAGGTACAAAAACTAACGTTATTTATTTAATGCTGATAAAAAATATGATCCTTTAAGTAACATTGAGCTGTTTTAATCAATATTTTCTCAAAGAGCTGATAAAGCAAAGTACACTGAATCAATAGCATTTATTTTCCCTTTATATCTCCACTAATCATATCTTCTTTAACTACTTACATTTAAGTATCACATGTTATATGATGTTATATTCCTGAATATTTATTTATTTATTTTGCTTAAAAAAAACATTAAAACATTTAAATATTCTATCTTCGAATCTGCATTGTTTTTAGCAGGCTAATGTTAGCACACTTTGGTTAACTCGTAGCTTCATACTGCACATAAATTGACAGAATGAAGGTGATCTAAAGACACTTAGGTGAAATCCACATAAGCAGTGAGTGTGTTGTTCTTCTTTTCTCTGAATAAACGGCATTTATTTTCCCTTTCTTTCTCCACTAATCATATCTTCTTTAACTCCTTACATTTAAGTTTCACATGTTATATGATGTTATATTCCTGAATATTTTTTTTTTTTATTTTACTTTAAAAAGAGATTAAAACATTTAAATCTTAGTTTATTTCTCTAAGCACTCAAAAGGAAGATCCAATTTAAAGGATGAATGTGCGACTTTCTTTATCCAGTAGATGTCGTCCTTGAGCACCAGCATTAAACCAAAACAAACTGCTGTTTGGCAACATCTCTGCCATTCTGAATCCTCTGCTCTCCTCCAGCAGCACACCTACGACACCTCTCCACTCGCCTCCCATGAAGGGGTTAGGAATTAGAACGCACCATAAAAAAAAAGAATTAAATTCAAAAAACATTACTTGTCCCCGGGGGCAATTCAAAGCATTAACAACCACTAAGTGCAAGTGGCGGACAAACTTGTCCTTTGCTCGAGCTGCAGTTGCCTGTGGTCTGCATTGTTGTGTTAGCAAGCTAATGTTAGCACACTTTACTTAGCTCGTAGCTTCACATTAAACATAAATTGACACAGAATGACCGAGTTCTAAACACACTTACTTGAAATCCAAATAAGCAGTGAGTAAATTCTTCTTCTTTTCTCTCGACCTCGACTTAAACAGCTTTATGCACAAGGCCGTCCCGTCCATGTAAACATGATGTAAACACAACCCGACAACAACACAGCCAGCAGGACTCGAGCTTCTCACTCATTGCAGACAGTCACAACTCAAACAGACATTTACAGGATATACTTGATTTCTGCTGTATTTATGTGTAAAATGTCACACATTCTTCCTTAAAAGGCTTAATATGCAATTTTTCACACTTAAATGTAGCAGAAATCAATCCTCTGAAAATAACTCTGTGAGTCATGACTGTCTACAATGGGTGTAACACCCGAGTCCCGCTGTCTGTGATGTTTTCCGAGTCCTATCTTCAGTTTGTTTACATCGTCGGGACGGCCGGCCGACTCATCCCCTCGCGTATAAAAGTTGTTTAATTGAGGGACTAGAGAAAAGAAGAATAACATACTGTACTCACTGCTTAACTACGTTTCTAGATCACGTAGGTAAATTTACATGCAGTGTGAAGATACGATCATAATAAAAATCGCTAGCATTAGCATGCTAACACAACAATGCAGCGCAAGTTGTTTTGGTTTCATGCTGGTGCTCAAAGGCGACATCTGCTGGATCAAAAAAATGGCATTTTCTGCTTTTAAAATACTAGCAAAATGAAATGTGTTACATTGACATACAAAGAAAGTGCACATACTACTATCAGCACAAATACATAATTTAAACATAGGTCCCTCCTGGGCTGGCCACCCCTTGCTCCGCCCCTTTAACAGACACTCTCTTGGAAGATTCATACAGTTATCTGATTTTCATTGCACAGATTTAGACACATGTACACCATGGAATTAGAATTAAACAAAAACTTAATAGAAAATTAAAGGTAGGGTTAGTGCGCGCGCCCCATGTATGGAGGCTTTGGTCCTCCAAGTGGGCGACCCAGGTTCAAATCCGACCTGTGGCTCCTTTCCCTCATTCCCCACTCTCTCTCTCTCCCTGATTTCTGACTCTATCCACTGTCCTGTCTATCTATTAAAGGTACAAAAAGCCCAAAAATAAATCTTAAAAAAGAAAATCAAAGGTAACAACCGTATGTTACTCAATGCAGAAATATAAGCTGTTTGTAAAAAAAGTAAAGTACTTGAATGTAAACATAACTATAGTATGATAACCTCTGTTCATGTGGCAGATGTACGTTGGTCAGTCTTAAAAAAGACAATTGATGAAATGTGAAAAGAAATATCTGTACTCATTTTTTGCACCTTGAACATGTTCTTTTAATTTTTCAGGTGGAAAAGATGACATCTGTTATAGAACTGCTTGTGGAAATTATGGCTTGCCTAACAGAAGACCAGTATGAGGAATTCAAGCAGTTGATCAGAAATGAAGGCCACAAAACATATAAATCATACAACCCTCGTTTGCTGTGGCAGACAAACCATCAGGACACTGCGTGTGTTACAGTTTTGACTTTTGGCCAAAACTCTGTTGTGAAGACGATGAAGATTTTAAAGAAGATGAACAGAACTGATCTGGTGCAGAAGTTGTTGGAGACCAGCTCAAGTTTCGAAAGTATGACCATGAAGACCAAGATAATTTAAAATCATAAAACTGTCTCTAAACCTATTTCACAAGTGTTTAAGTTACATCTGTATCTGTTACATGATTTATAATAAGATTCATAGTGCACAGATATTAAGACTTATCAGTTGGTTTACCAATATATCTTTTTGACTTATGTTGTACCTCACAAATCATTACTAAACTATTTGCCTGATAACATCTTTGTCATGTTTAAGATCAATCTCTCATGAGTTATTTTTTTCCACTTTTTTCCTCAGAGAAACGCTCAGATGAACCACGCTCTGTCCTGTTGGAGAAAGTGAGTAATCACTTCACATCTGTCTGATTTACACATGAATATGAACATTTTGATGAAATTTGATGAAATTTGAATTAATCTGTTTTTCACAAAACTGAAGCTTTATTCAGGTTGAGCGTTTTAGCAGTAATGTTGTGCAGCAGATTCATAAATATCTTTGACAGTGCTTATGAGATGAAATGTCAGCACATAATCTTTTTCTGACTTTTTCCTTCAACAATAATCAATATAATAAAAAGAATATCTGTCAGAAACACCCAGCTCAACACCTTAAGAGACACATTTAAAATTGTCCTAGTTGATTAAGCAAATGTCCCATGAGTGTGTTAACTATTCCAGGCAGCAACAATGGCAGCTGTTAAAGAGCTGCTTTTGGAAATCCTGCATTCTTTAAATGACGGTGAGCTCGAGGAATTCAAGTTTCTGCAGTTGGCCTTTCAAAAGGACTCCAAAGACATCCCACTTTTATTGAGATACTCAAACGACCCGTACAGAAATATTGGATGTGATGGTGCAGACCTACGGGCGACAGTCTGTGGATGAGACCAGTAAGATTTTAAAGAAGTTGCACAGAGTTGATCTCATGCAGATGTTTTCAGAGACTAGCTCAGAACCCAAAGGTAAGACAAATAAGAACAAAACAAATCTTTGATAAATAAGATTAATACATTTGTTGAATTTGATTTCTTTAGGCTATGTTGTTGTTACCTTGTAAAGCAGCTGAACCTTATTAAAGTAGATCAAAGTCTCATTAAAATAAGATAATCGTCGTAGTCACAAATGTCTTTTCTCCTCAGTGGATGAGCATCAACCTCCAGTCTTTGAAAAAGTGAGTCCGTTTTTTACATTTCACAGCCTGATTTGTCTGATGCAGATTAAAAAATATCCAAGTTTTTGAACATTGCAAATTATAATACAAACCAAAACAAATGGCTATAATTGGTTGTAAAGTTCAGCTCTGTAGTATTTGAGTTCTGTATTTCAGGCGTTTTAAAGGAAATGCTTCATGTTAAGTGCTGTGGAAGATTTCACATGTTGCATTAAATCATGTAGTTGTATTCAGTTTAACAGGGGATTTAAGGGTGAAGGGATAGAGGGGATCTCCTCTGTTATGTTGCTACAGCAAAATACAAACTTAAAAAAAAAGTTTTTTTAAAAAAACCTGCAAACATGGCCAATAAAATAATTTTACCTGTTGCAATAATCTCGAGTGATCATGGAGAAAGTATTCCGATAACTTCCCTACATCTCTGATTAAATCCCCAGAGATGTTCCTTTTTGATTTTACCATTGGAGAAATGACTAATTTGTTTATTGTCTTTGGTATTTTTAGACGGTAAAGGAAGATGTGGAACATGTTCTTTCGGAAACATTGAGTGGTTTGAAATTTATGGAGTTTGAGAAATTTAAGTGGGTGCTGCAGCTCACATACTTCCAGAGGAGTTTTACACAAATCCAGTGGCACCACATGAAGTGGGCAACAACTCCAGATGAACTGGTGCATCTGATGGTGATGAACCAGCAGCCTGTGGAGGTGACCAAAGAGGTTTTACTGGACATGAACAGGACTGATCTAGTTGAGAGGCTGATGGCGACAGACTCAGGACTTCAAGGTGAGAGAAAGAAAACAAACACTGCCACATTACACACATTTAAGTTTAAAGATATTTGATATTTCACAATTACAACAAAAGTAACAAGATCACAAATAAATTATTTTGTTTACACAAGATAACAAACCTGTTTTATACCAGTGGGTTAATTTTCCTAATCATATAAAAGTGGCGGAGTTAGCTTAATTTAACCAATCACAATCATCACTGCGTCTGCCGTCAGCAGATCGTTATATCCAACAAACTCTGAACTAAATTAAAAATAAGAAGAAGTTCAAGACAAATGTAAAATCATACGGGACACATGAAGTGTTGGTCGGTCTCTCTCCCTCCTCCGCTCTCTCGATCAGCTGCGGGAGCTCCAAGATCAAGAGATCTGACTGTTCAGTGGCGGAGATTTTTAGGTGTACAGCATGTTAGATGTGCAGCATAGGTTACCGTGGTGATATACCCAGGTCGCTAACCCCAAATCCTGCTTCGTAGTACAGACCTCTGGACTTTTCAGTTTAATGCCAGATTTATTCGTCTGCGTCTGCTAAATGAAATTGTAAAATTGTAACATTAGCCACTGACCTTTGTTATGTCGGGGTGGCGTTGGGGGGGCGTTGGGGGGGCGGGCCACCCCCCTAATATAATGGTAGGGGAAACACTGACCATACTCTTTGCTATGTTATCTACAAAGACCCAACATTAATCCATCACGAGCACTAAGAAACATTTACTGCTCTGTGTGCCTTTGATTTGAATTAGCAAAGTTACAGTGGAAAGGAAAAAATCCTTTAAGAGCAGAAACCTCGAGCTGAACCAGACTCATATTGAACAGCCGTCTGCTGAATCTCTGTTGGGTTTGGAAAGTGGGATAGAGGGAGATGCAGAAAGAGGGATAGAAATAAAATTGGTTTTCTTTTGCATTTATTTTTTCCTCAGAAGAACACTTTCTGGAAAAGCCGCTTGCAATGTTCAGGAGGGTGAGTATGTCACATCACTCTGACTTCACACAGCGTCACTGTTATAGAGTCAACCTCGAACATTTCAATTAAAGGTACAAAAACTAACAATATTTATTCAATGCTGATAAAAAACATGATCCTTTAAGTAACATTGACCTGTTTTAATCAATATTTTCTCAAAGAGCTGATAAAGCAAAGTACACTGAATCAATAGCATTTATTTTCCCTTTATATCTCCACTAATCATATCTTCTTTAACTCCTTACATTTAAGTATCACATGTTATATGATGTTATATTCCTGAATATTTATTTATTTATTTTACTTTAAAAAAACATTAAAACATTTAAATATTCTATCTTCGAATCTGCATTGTTTTTAGCAGGCTAATGTTAGCACACTTTGGTTAACTCGTAGCTTCATACTGCACATAAATTGACAGAATGAAGGTGATCTAAAGACACTTAGGTGAAATCCACATAAGCAGTGAGTGTGCTGTTCTTCTTTTCTCTGAATAAACAGCATTTATTTTCCCTTTCTATCTCCACTAATCATATCTTCTTTAACTCCTTACATTTAAGTATCACATGTTATATGATGTTATATTCCTGAATATTTCTTTATTTATTTTACTTTAAAAAGAGATTAAAACATTTAAATCTTAGTTTATTTCTCTAAGCACTCAAAAGGAAGATCCAATTTAAAGGATGAATGTGCGACTTTCTTTAACCAGTAGATGTCGTCCTTGAGCACCAGCATTAAACCAAAACAAACTGCTGTTTGGCAACATCTCTGCCATTCTGAATCCTCTGCTCTCCTCCAGCAGCACACCTACGACACCTCTCCACTCGCCTCCCATGAAGGGGTTAGGAATTAGAACGCACCATAAAAAAAATGAATTAAATTCAAAAAACGTTACTTGTCCCCGGGGGCAATTCAAAGCATTAACAACCACTAAACATGATGTAAACACAACCCTGACAACAACACAGCCAGCAGGACTCGAGCTTCTCACTCATTGCAGACAGTCACAACTCAAACAGACATTTACAGGATATACTTGATTTCTGCTGTATTTATGTGTAAAATGTCACACATTCTTCCTTAAAAGGCTTAATATGCAATTTTTCACACTTAAATGTAGCAGAAATCAATCCTCTGAAAATAACTCTGTGAGTCATGACTGTCTACAATGGGTGTAACACCCGAGTCCCGCTGTCTGTGATGTTTTCCGAGTCCTATCTTCAGTTTGTTTACATCGTCGGGACGGCCGGCCGACTCATCCCCTCGCGTATAAAAGTTGTTTAATTGAGGGACTAGAGAAAAGAAGAATAACATACTGTACTCACTGCTTAACTACGTTTCTAGATCACGTAGGTAAATTTACATGCAGTGTGAAGATACGATCATAATAAAAATCGCTAGCATTAGCATGCTAACACAACAATGCAGCGCGAGTTGTTTTGGTTTCATGCTGGTGCTCAAAGGCGACATCTGCTGGATCAAAAAAAATCACATTTTCTGCCTTTTAAATACTAGCAAAATGAAATGTGTTACATTGACATACAAAGAAAGTGCACATACTACTAACAGCACAAATACATAATTTAAACATAGGTCCCTCCTGGGCTGGCCACCCCTTGCTCCGCCCCTTTAACAGACACTCTCTTGGAAGATTCATACGGTTATCTGATTTTCATTGCACAGATTTAGACAAATGTACACCATGGAATTAGAATTAAATAAAAACTTAATAGAAAATTAAAGGTAGGGACGCAGTGGTTAGTGCGCGCGCCCTATGTATGGTGGTCCTCCAAGTGGGCAACAGTTTTTATTTGTGTGTGTGGGGCAAACATTATTTTTACAGTCTATGGTTTGAACCGGACCGGATGATGTCGTCACTTCCGCGACAGATTAGTCAAATTACAAATAATATGAAGTTAAATTGTCTAATAATTGTAGTTCTTTAAACTGATTGCTATTCATAGTTTATTCTCAAAAATATCGATGAAACATACAGTAATTATTATAAAATATTTAAACAATGTAATCTGTCAGTCAAGTCATACTTTTTTTTTATTAAATAAACTTACTTTATATATTTACATTTCACACAAAGATTTCTGTTTCATTTTTACTCATACATTTTGATATAGTTAACCCAAATACTCATCATAATGATGTTCAGTCATATTTTTTAAACAATAATTCCTTTATATTACTGCTACATTTACTAAGCCCTTGAAATATTTTTGAGAGCGAACCAAAGCTTAACCCAACCCAAACCAAAAATGATGAACAGGTGAAGCAGGCTCATGCAGACAGCTTCTCACTGAGGTAAACTGGCAACTGGCCATGTAATGCTTGTAAGTCATGAATACGATTTACAAATGGATCTAGAGAAACCTGAAGGCCGCAGCCTTTGATGAATAACTACTGAGTGACCCATCAATACCAGTAAAAATGTTTCAAATGTGTTTTCTCTAATGAAAGAATACGAGATAATTTTTTTAAATATTTAATCAGAGTTTGTGAAGTTATTGATACAACTACATAATACTTAATTTAACTTAATCATTTTGTATTGATTTCATTTCAAACATGTAAATATCAATCGTTCTGTAAATGGCACTCGTCATAATCTGCGTATTCTATTATGTTATCTTTTGTTTTCCAGCTTAAAAAAATGACGACACGTAGGATGCCGTCTAAAACATTGGAACGTTTGAGTTCTGGGGAGCTTGAGGATTTCTGCCTACATGTTGAATTGGAGAAAGGTGTCCCCCTCCTCTCAGAACTCAATCTAAAATCAATATGCCCAGAGAAAATAGAGGAGCTGATGGTGAAGAGATACAGCAAGGAGGAGTGTGTGAAGTTGACCAGAAATATCTTAAAGAAGATGAACAGGACTGATCTCGTGAAGAGATTGCTTGACGACAGACGGGAGCCCAAAGGTGAGACAAACACAAAGTCTTCACACAATACAATCAAGGCATTTTAAAAGTTCTATATTTCAATTAATGAGGAAAGCAAAACAGTCACTTTACAAAAAGAGCAGGTAAATATCTTACTCTTTGTTATATTATCTACAAAGACCCAACATTAATCCATCACAAGCACTAAGAAACATTTACTGCTCTGTGTGCCTTTGAATTTTCCCCCGGGGATAAAATAAAGTTTTTTGAATTGATTTGAATTAGCAAAGTTACAGTGGAAAGGAAAAAATCCTTTAAGAGCAGAAACCTCGAGCGGAACCAGACTCATGATGAACAGCCGTCTGCTGAATCTGTGTTGGGTTTGGAAAGTGGGATAGAGGGAGATGCAGGAAGAGGGATAGAAATAAAATTGGTTTTCTTTTGCATTTATTTTTTCCTCAGAAGAACACTCTATGGATGAAGAGCCGCTTTCACTGACCCAGAGGGTGAGTATGTCACATCACTCTGACTTCACACAGCGTCACTATTATAGAGTCCACCTCGAACATTTCAATTAAAGGTACAAAAACTAACGTTATTTATTTAATGCTGATAAAAAAATGATCCTTTAAGTAACATTAACCTGTTTTAATCAATATTTTCTCAAAGAGCTGATAAAGCAAAGTACACTGAATCAATAGCATTTATTTTCCCTTTATATCTCCACTAATCATATCTTCTTTAACTCCTTACATTTAAGTATCACATGTTATATGATGTTATATTCCTGAATATTTATTTATTTATTTTACTTTAAAAAAACATTAAAACATTTAAATATTCTATCTTCGAATCTGCATTGTTTTTAGCAGGCTAATGTTAGCACACTTTGGTTAACTCGTAGCTTCATACTGCACATAAATTGACAGAATGAAGGTGATCTAAAGACACTTAGGTGAAATCCACATAAGCAGTGAGTGTGTTGTTCTTCTTTTCTCTGAATAAACAGCATTTATTTTCCCTTTATATCTCCACTAATCATATCTTCTTTAACTCCTTACATTTAAGTTCCACATGTTATATGATGTTATATTCCTGAATATTTATTTATTTATTTTACTTTAAAAAGAGATTAAAACATTTAAATCTTAGTTTATTTCTCTAAGCACTCAAAAGGAAGATCCAATTTAAAGGATGAATGTGCGACTTTCTTTATCCAGTAGATGTCGTCCTTGAGCACCAGCATTAAACCAAAACAAACTGCTGTTTGGCAACATCTCTGCCATTCTGAATCCTCTGCTCTCCTCCAGCAGCACACCTACGACACCTCTCCACTCGCCTCCCATGAAGGGGTTAGGAATTAGAACGCACCATAAAAAAAATGAATTAAATTCAAAAAACATTACTTGTCCCCGGGGGCAATTCAAAGCATTAACAACCACTAAGTGCAAGTGGCGGACAAACTTGTCCTTTGCTCGAGCTGCACTTGCCTGTGGTCTGCATTGTTGTGTTAGCAGGCTAATGTTAGCACACTTTACTTAGCTCGTAGCTTCACATTAAACATAAATTGACACAGAATGACCGAGTTCTAAACACACTTACTTGAAATCCAAATAAGCAGTGAGTAAATTCTTCTTCTTTTCTCTCGACCTCGACTTAAACAGCTTTATGCACAAGGCCGTCCCGTCCATGTAAACATGATGTAAACACAACCCGACAACAACACAGCCAGCAGGACTCGAGCTTCTCACTCATTGCAGACAGTCACAACTCAAACAGACATTTACAGGATATACTTGATTTCTGCTGTATTTATGTGTAAAATGTCACACATTCTTCCTTAAAAGGCTTAATATGCAATTTTTCACACTTAAATGTAGCAGAAATCAATCCTCTGAAAATAACTCTGTGAGTCATGACTGTCTACAATGGGTGTAACACCCGAGTCCCGCTGTCTGTGATGTTTTCCGAGTCCTATCTTCAGTTTGTTTACATCGTCGGGACGGCCGGCCGACTCATCCCCTCGCGTATAAAAGTTGTTTAATTGAGGGACTAGAGAAAAGAAGAATAACATACTGTACTCACTGCTTAACTACGTTTCTAGATCACGTAGGTAAATTTACATGCAGTGTGAAGATACGATCATAATAAAAATCGCTAGCATTAGCATGCTAACACAACAATGCAGCGCGAGTTGTTTTGGTTTCATGCTGGTGCTCAAAGGCGACATCTGCTGGATCAAAAAAAATGGCATTTTCTGCCTTTAAAATACTAGCAAAATGAAATGTGTTACATTGACATACAAAGAAAGTGCACATACTACTATCAGCACAAAAAGATGATTTAAACATAGGTCCCTCCTGGGCTGGCCACCCCTTGCTCCGCCCCTTTAACAGACACTCTCTTGGAAGATTCATACAGTTATCTGATTTTCATTGCACAGATTTAGACACATGTACACCATGGAATTAGAATTAAACAAAAACTTCATAGAAAATCAAAGGTAGGGACGCAGTGGTTAGTGCGCGCGCCCCCATATACGGAGGCTGTAATCCTCCTAGCGGGCAGCCCAGGTTCAAATCCGACCTGTGGCTCATTTCCCTCATTCCCCACTCTCTCTGTCTCCCTGATTTCTGACTCTATCCACTGTCCTGTCTATCTATTAAAGGTACAAAAAGCCCAAAAATAAATCTTAAAAAAGAAAATCAAAGGTAACAACCGTATGTTACTCAATGCAGAAATATAAGCTGTTTGTAAAAAAAGTAAAGTACTTGAATGTAAACATAACTATAGTATGATAACCTCTGTTCATGTGGCAGATGTACGTTGGTCAGTCTTAAAAAAGACAATTGATGAAATGTGAAAAGAAATATGTGTACTCATTTTTTGCACCTTGAACATGTTCTTTTAATTTTTCAGGTGGAAAAGATGACATCTGTTATAGAACTGCTTGTGGAAATTATGGCTTGCCTAACAGAAAACCAGTATGAGGAATTCAAGAAGTTGATCAGAAATGAAGGCCATATAAAATATATATATCATACAACCCTCGTTTGCTGTGGCAGACAAACCATCAGGACACTGCGTGTGTTACAGTTTTGACTTTTGGTCAAAACTCTGTTGTGAAGACGATGAAGATTTTAAAGCAGATGAACAGAACTGATCTGGTGCAGAAGTTGTTGGAGACCAGCTCAAGTTTCAAAAGTACGACCATGAAGACCAAGATAATTTAAAATCATAAAACTGTCTCTCAACCTATTTCACAAGTGTTTAAGTTACATCTGTATCTGTTACAAGATTTATAATAAGATTCATAGTGCACAGATATTAAGACTTATCAGTTGGTTTACCAATATATCTTTTTGACTTATGTTGTACCTCACAAATCATTACTAAACTATTTTGCCTGATAACATCTTTGTCATGTTTAAGATCAATCTCTCATGAGTTATTTTTTCCACTTTTTTCCTCAGAGAAACGTTCAGATGAACCACGCTATGTCCTGTTGGAGGAAGTGAGTAATCACTTCACATCTGTCTGATTTACACATGAACATGAACATTTTGATGAAATTTGATGAAATTTGAATTAATCTGTTTTTCACAAAGCTGAAGCTTTATTCAGGTTGAGCGTTTTAGCAGTAATGTTGTGCAGCAGATTCATAAATATCTTTGACAGTGCTTATGAGATGAAATGTCAGCACATAATCTTTTTCTGACTTTTTCCTTCAACAATAATCAATATAATAAAAAGAATATCTGTCAGAAACACCCAGCTCAACACCTTAAGAGACACATTTAAAATTGTCCTAGTTGATTAAGCAAATGTCTCATGAGTGTGTTAACTATTCCAGGCAGCAACAATGGCAGCTGTTAAAGAGCTGCTTTTGGAAATCCTGCATTCTTTAAAAGGAGCTCAAAGAAGTTTCTGCAGTTGGCCTTTCAAAAGGACTTCAAAGACAGCCCACGTCTTTTGAGATACCAATACGACCGTACAGAAATATTGGATGTGATGGTGCAGACCTACGGGCGACAGTCTGTGGATGAGACCAGAGAGATTTTAAAGAAGTTGCACAGAGTTGATCTCATGCAGATGTTTTCAGAGACTAGCTCAGAACCCAAAGGTAAGACAAATAAGAACAAAACAAATCTTTGATAAATAAGATTAATACATTTGTTGAATTTGATTTCTTTAGGTTATGTTGTTGTTACCTTGTAAAGCAGCTGAACCTTATTAAAGTAGATCAACGTCTCATTAAAATAAGATAATCGTCGTAGTCACAAATGTCTTTTCTCCTCAGTGGATGAGCATCAACCTCCAGTCTTTGAAAAAGTGAGTCCGTTTTTTACATTTCACAGCCTGATTTGTCTGATGCAGATTAAAAAACATCCAAGTCTTTGAACATTGCAAATTATGATACAAACCAAAACAAATGGCTATAATTGGTTGTAAAGTTCAGCTCTGTAGTATTTGAGTTCTGTATTTCAGGTGTTTTAAAGGAAATGCTTCATGTTAAGTGCTGTGGAAGATTTCACATGTTGCATTAAATCATGTAGTTGTATTCAGTTTAACAGAGATTTAAGGGTGAAGGGATAGAGGGGATCTTCTATGTTATGTTGCTACCACAAAATACAAACATTAAGAACAATGTGTTTTTTAAAAAAATCCTGTTAACATAGCCAACAAAAGAAATGTTACCTATTGTATTAATCTCAAGTGATCATGGGAAAAATATTCCGATAACTTCCCTACATCTCTGATTAAATCCCCAGAGATGTTCCTTTTTGATTTTACCATTGGAGAAATGACTAATTTGTTTATTGTCTTTGACATTTTTAGACGGTAAAGGAAGATGTGGAACATGTTCTTTCGGAAACATTGAGTGGTTTGAAACTTATGGAGTTTGAGAAATTTAAGTGGGTGCTGCAGCTCACATACTTCCAGAGGAGTTTTACACGAATCCAGTGGCACGACATGAAGTCGGCAACAACTCCAGATAAACTGGTGCATCTGATGGTGATGAACCAGCAGCCTGTGGAGGTGACCAAAGAGGTTTTATTGGACATGAACAGGACTGATCTAGTTGAGAGGCTGATGGGGACAGACTCAGGACTTCAAGGTGAGAGAAAGAAAACAAACACTGCCACATTACACACATTTATGTTTAAAGATATTTGATATTTCACAATTACAACAAAAGTAACGAGATCACAAATAAATTATTTTGTTTACACAAGATAACAAACCTGTTTTATACCTGTGGGTTAATTTTTCCAATCATATAAATGTGGCGGAGTTAGCTTAATTTAACCAATCACAATCATCACTGCGTGTTGGTCGGTCTCTCTCCCTCCTCCGCTCTCTCGATCAGCTGCGGGAGCTCCAAGATCAAGAGATCTGACTGTTCAGTGGCGAAGATTTTTAGGTGTGCAGCAGGTTAGATGTGCAGCATAGGTTACCGTGGTGATATACCCAGGTTAGAAGTGAACCACCTTCATAGGACTGAAAACCCAGGGTTAACCCTGAAGTTACCTCGCTAACCCCAAATCCTGCTTCGTAGTACAGACCTCTGGACTTTTCAGTTTAATGCCAGATTTATTCGTCTGCGTCTGCTAAATGAAATTGTAAAATTGTAACATTAGCCACTGACCTTTGTTATGTCAAATAATAAAATATTGTATTTCTGATCTGAGGCTGACGTCAAGCATGGCCCTTTAAGGTTTGTGAAGATTTATTAACTTTTTATTTTTTATTTCTCTTCAGAGAAACATCAGCCTGAACTGCCTCATCAAGTGAGTAAAGTAAAATCAGAAACACATTAAACAACAAGGTTTCCATTTATTTCATTTTATTGTTACATGAACATAATTATTCTCATCTTGATAGTAAAGTGGTGGAAAAGGTTTTCAGCTGCAGATGGAAAGAAGGAGGACAATAAAAGTACTATGTTGTGATGATGTTACAAAAAGAACACACTTAAGATACTTTGTTTTTATAGAAATTGTTGGAGCCAAAATGTGGGTTTATGTTTTGCCCTTTAGTTTTCCTTTGGGTATGTGTGTGTGTGTATCCCTTTACTGGACACCGTGTGGAGCCTGAGCTGATTCTGTGCTCCAGGTGATGGTAGCAGGTGAATGAATAGTTTTCAACCCTGGCAGCCTGTCAGAGGTGAGCCTGATTTTATTTAATATACCAGATTTGTCTATTATTTATCATATGGATGCAGTGGGACATCGTTTCATCCTTAGAGCTGAGCATGAATCCTAAATATCTTCCACATTCGTCCCTCAAGTGACTTTTTTAGACAATATTGGATTGGTTAAAATTGGTCACTCCAGTAAACTTCAAATCTGAAATCATCATGGTGTCACTGTGACTAAGGTACTTGATTTTATTGTTACAATAAGCTGTTGAGGTTGTGCTTTGCCTGTCAGCACCTGTGTGTCTGATCAGACTTAAAGCTGTTTGTTTGCTCTTACTGACATTGTTTCCTTTTTTATAGATCCTTGTTTGTGTTTTACTTACTCTCTGATGTATGTTGCTTTAGATAAAAGCGTCTGCTAAGTGAATTGTAGAAATGCAGAGAAATAATAATAATAATTGAAAAAGAGTGAATACTGATTCTGATGGGTTTGTGTAATCACTGTGGAGAGTCAGTTATAACTGTGGTGTGGTGGTTGAAGAAAGGGTTAATCATCAGGGTTTTAGGTTCCTTTAATCTGAATGATAGGAATCTATGAATTCTGGATTTGTGGAATTGTCTGTCTGGCTACACATTCAAATATTAGAAATGCTAAATACACACATCAGCTTTCTTACACCATGCTGTCTAAATGAACATAAACAATATGCATTTAGCTTCCAAATAGCTCAAAGAATGCTAACAAATTAAAAGTATTTCCAGTAATGCTAACAGAAAGAAAAGTATGAAATAAACACAAAAAGAACTTCTATTATTGAAGCACAATCTCCAGCTCTCACCAAAACATAAATTTTACTTATTGACTGCAAAACTTACTTTCGATGCTGACTTTCTCTCTCTTATGCAGCTTCTCCACATGTGCAATCCTCTGGAGTTGTTAGTCTTAAAGGCAGTCTTTACAATAATACTTTATTTGTATGGCACATTTCAATACAGGTAACAAAATGCTTTATGACAGACAATAAAAGCAAACCGAATATAAAAGCAGCAGACAAGCAGTAATACAAACAGATTAAAAAAGCTTTTTTGTAAAACAATGTCTTAAGTAGAGAATTAAAACGAAGGACTGACTCTGCATGTCTGATCTCCTCTGGCAGGCTGTTCCAAAGTCTGGGGGCTCTGTCAACAAAAGCCCTGTCCCCTTTAGTTTTCAGCCTGGACCTTGGAACAGCCAGCGGAGAACTGCCAGAGGATCTCAGACTGAGTCCTGGTTCATAAGGGGTTAAAAGCTCAGAAATGTAAATATGACAATACTGTCATAACTTAATGTTGATGCCAGTGAACCAAAGTTTTGTCTACAGTTGAGATGAAACCCATAAACGCTCTCTGATTATGTTGACTCCATTAGAAATCCACAGTAACATCACTTCATTGGACACTTTGGGAAACACTGAGAGGCTTACGATATGACGAGCAAGAGCTATTCAAGCAACACCTGCTGCATATCGCCCAAGAAAAAGGCCTCCCAGGAGCCCCAGAACGACAAGTGAAGACGGCAGACAGAGATGGTATAGTGATGCTGATGGTGGACATCTATGGCCAACAGTCTGTTGAGCTGACCAAAGACGTTTTATACAGAATGAACAAGACTGATCTGCTAAAGACGCTCTCAGGGACCAGCTCAGGATTCAACACTGAGAGTAAGAGGATGAAAACTTACACATTACACAAATATATATGCTTCATTAAATACTAAGACTACAGACATTGTTGAGCTGAATCAATTCTCCTGGTTTTTGTGACGTTAATAATGAGTACATTTAAGTTTAACTTTTCGCCAAGTACCGCACAGCCAACCCACATAAGTTATACATTTTTTATTTATTTTTAAGATGTTGAGATGGTGCCATGTTATATTTTATTCACAAAATGACTAAAACTGACTAAAGCTGCTTTTTGTCTGATTTTAATGAGTCCTTTTCTCTCCCCCCTTAGAGAAACTTCAGCAAAAAGATCCACAACATGTGAGTAATGTTACATCAGACACTCTACAGTTTTCATTTCTAACTATTTAATTAACAATATTTACTTACTTTTTTGATGAAGCAGGAATCAACCATGACACCGGTCCATTCACAGCTTTTAGAAACACTGGAAGAATTAGGTTCAGGGGACCTGGAGAAATTCAAACATGCCTTGCTCCACACTAAAATGAAAGAAGGGCTCCCAAAAATCCCAAAGGACCAAGTGGAGACCGCAGACAAAGATGAGATAGTGAAGCTGATGGTGGAGATCTATGGCCAACGCTGTGTGGAGGTGACAGAGGATATTTTAGAGATGATGAACAGGACTGATCTGGTCGGAAAGTTGTCAGAAAGAAGCTCAGTATCTAAAGGTAAGTTTTAAAAAAAAGTGTTATTTGACTATAAAACATTAGGTGTACAGAACCTGGACTGCATTTTTAAACCTCTATCTTCTTTTAGTTTTATAATGCTTCTGTGACGCTGATCAGCAGGGGACAGAGGCAACATGTGTTTAGGCTTTTCTGTCCATTTGTTTGTTGAATGTCCCATGTTTTTAACTAGAGTGTCTGGAGTAAATATCTTTAAAGTTTGCACAAACAACCACTAGGATAAAGCAATAGTGTGATCAAAGGTTAAGGTCACTCACCTCACATCAGTCCCATTCTCATGACAGCAAAATCACAGCAATGGATAAAGGGGATTATGTTGGGATGGGATGTTGTTTTAAAAAAAAAAGTCTGATAGAACATCATGCGTACAAATTCTCAAAAGTAGGTGTAGGTCCAAAGTTTTGAACACACTACTCTTTTTCTTCATGTTTTTTTTTCTCCAGCTGTTAGGAGAAGGGTTTATGAACATTCACATGCTCTGCAGACAAACACAGATAAAAAAAAAAAAACACCTTTTCCAGGTCAGTGTTCTATAACCCCGACCCGACGGCAGAAAATAAGAGATACATATAAGAGATGTAAGGTTACTATTCGATAATATATGTCTGAGTAACATACTTTAAAGAAACCTTTGTGTCTTTCCAAGGGCCTTTTGGTTGTGTGGAGCCTGACGACTGTGGACAAGAAATGGTAATCCCATCCATCATTCATTTGTTCCGTTTCTTTTTAATTCAGTATTTATTTTATTTATTCATTCATTGTTGCCAATATAAAATGATTGTCTCTGTCAGCCGGACTCTGGTCACTGGACCAAACTTGATCCTGAAGTGAACAGTACTGATGGAGATGAGTCTCCTACATACAGGTACAAATATCTTCCTTAATACTGACCAACAGCAAATAAGATTTTTTTTTTTTTTGACCAAATGAAAAACAATACTTTTCTTTGTTACTCCTTTTGTGCCTAAAACACTACAGTACAGTTATATACAAACTCATTGATGTCTTTCTGTGTCACTTAGCCTACAGAGTGAAGTAGGAAACGGTTTTGAATGCAATGTCTCCGGCATTCGCTGGATCTGTAAGGATAAGGTCAGCTTTCAGTACAAGTTTTGCTCTTGGGAGGAACACATTGAGAGGATGGAAAGCTTGAAATACTTGCCTGCAGGTCCTCTAATGAACATCAAAGTCATTGCTGGAAAGTTTGATGAAGTGTACCTGCCACACTGGATCTGCATAGGTGAGTGGAAATACAGCAGAAAATAACTTAAAGGTCACATATTATCCTCCTTTTAACCCAGATTAAATATGGTAAGTCTCAGAGGTCCCAAGAACATGCCTGTGAAGTTTCTTGCAAAAAATCCACTCTGATCCTGTATTAGATCATTCCTATGAACCTCTCTATTTAAACCTCTTCCCAATAAGGGGAAATCTCCAAACGACTTGTTTGAGCACACATATTCTAACACATATTAGTGTTCTGAAAACATGGTGACGTGTATTTTGCATAATATGTGACCTTTACAATTGAGCAACTAACATAATTTAAAAGAAAAACTGATGCAATTATTTCTTTTCACTTATGTGTGCATTTGTATTTTGTGCAGACGGCAACACTGACATATTAGGAGAGTTTGCCGTCCTCCACATCGATGACTGTGGTGATGTTGTGGAACAAGTTTCCGAGTCACGTCTTGCCATGTCAAGTTAGCTGAACCAGTTTTTTCGCCAAAGGGGGTTCTGATCAAATTTGGTGTGCGTGTGAAAACACGCTGCAGCGTGTTGATATTTAAGATGAAAAATACATTCTTCAAGCTCAAAGTTTATCTGATCCCGTGTGATCCTGGTCTTCGACAGGTTATTACTTATCCTGATTTCATAAATATAAGTGATTCAAATCATGATTGTATCAAAAATGATCACAAATCAGCTTTTGTTGCAACTTTCTATTGTGTTTTTTTTCTACAGGAAATTCTCAAGATTGAAAAAAACTACGAAAACAAAGAAATTGAAGTACCACCTGAAAATATGCACTTGAGAATGAAGGATGACTTTATCCTATCAACCGATATGGATGGTGCAGAAATTTGTCCCGAAGTATGTTTTGAGCTGCATTTAAATCTATGAACTGTGGTTCTGAATAGTTGGATACTGTTGGATAAGTCAAATTGAACAATAATTTAAAAGTAGGGTTGTCAATAATAATGCATTAATCACAATGTGATTAAGGTGCAAATTGAATGCATTAATTTGTTTTAATCATCTATATTGTGTGCTTTATGACGCTTTCAGAGTACCATAGTAATCCCACCGCAGCGTCTTCTTTATTCTTGATGCCACAGAGATAGATGATAACAACAGCACTTCACTTTTGAATGGCTAATTCACACATTCCGCACAGTTGACAAGTCTAAGTAATAGGCACCTTGTGTCAAACAGAATTAAAAGATCAACAAAGTACGAGTGTGTTTTATACCTAGCATTTAAACAATATTTAGCAAGATACAGCAGATTTATCTTTTTATGTCTTTTTGATTCAAAAGAACATATCACCTTTTTGAAAAATGCATAAATTATAGCAATTTAAAAAAATCTGGTGCTACATTACTTCAATGTCTTTCACACATTTTTCCCCCACAGGAAGTCAAGCTCGAATATCAATTCACCGATCCACCGTACTTTAAAGTACGTATAAGAAATCCAGACACAGACTTCATCCTCAAGCTTACAAAAAAAAAAGAGAGTACACCAGTGTGGACCCGCAAAATTGACGAAGGTTTGAATACATTAAAACTGTTTTTTTACTTAGAATTATTACTGATGCAGAGTAGGTGACTGCTTTTAAACAAAGCAGCAGATCAAAAATAAATTATTGATCTAAGCATTTTACTTTTCAGATGATTACCAAAGCAATTCCCATGCACCAGGTAAGCCATTCTTATCAATCATTCTTTTAGGGTTACATGACAACAAATTTCATTAGGCCTAATTACTAATAAGGTAGGTAATGCAATGACAAGTAAGCTTACAAACAAAGCAAATGGTTAAGAACTACGTTTTACATGCTCTTTCAAATAAAACAACTTCACATTTAAAAAGAAACTTAATTTTTTGTGAAAAAAGATATTTTAGGCACTAGCCCATTATACCTGAACATCATGATTTATCTCAAGACGGACCCTGCTGATACTCAAGTCTGATATTTCAAAAACAATTATACTTGGTCACATTGTTTTAACAAATAATTAGACCCATGCCAATTTATAAAAATATCATTAGATCTCATGCATAGCTTATTTGATGGTCTTATAGATCTTTTACCAAAATGTGGCCCATTTTAGCTAACTTAACCCTTATTGTTGTTGTATTATATATCAGTTGGAAAGCCTGATTAGTCACCTTTACAACGAGGTAGGGGAGAGCGGGGTATCTTGTCACACTTTTGGCTTTCACCTAAAATTCTCGGTCTAAGTATATCACAGTCACTCAATTTCTGTATGTTACATATCACTTAGCAGACGCAAAGCATCCAAAGCGATGTACATCAGAGAGTAAGTACAACACTAATCCATTCATACACTGCCACTGAAGCAGCCGGAGCAATGCAAGATTAAGTGTCTTGCCCAAGGACACATCGGCCATGTTGCTCAGCTGGGGATCAAACCCTTGACCTTCCGGTTGAGAGGCGACGACTCTACCAGCTGAAATCTTAGCTAAATATTGAGAAGTCGTTGCTAAATATTTTGTTTGTATTCTATATATTTAGCTTTGATTATAAATATTTACAATTTTAGCTAAATATATAGGATCAAAGCAAAATATTTAGAATGTAAACTAAATGTTTAGAAACGTAGCTAAATATTTATGATATGATTTTTTTAGGGCTAAATGTGGAGAAATGTTGTTGTTATTTGTAGTGTGTGTAACAGGTACGGGATGGAACCTGCTTACAGCTTAAAGTATGTCTGTAAAAGACAAAGAAAACACACTGAGTCGACTGTAGTTGTTCACTCTTCTGTCGCTTCTGCCAGACTGAAGCAGAGCGCAGCAACTATAACTTTAACCAAAACACAGATACGTTTGTATAATATTCATACAAAATAACCAAATACAATAACAAAATGTGACAACACATTTCGGTGTGTCACATGTGCGCAACTTTACAATCGGCGCCCTATAATGAGGTCGGGCTTCCTTTGCAGGACATTCAAAGTGGCCTATTATCACAAAAATCAGCAACAATTAGGCTACAACGTTAAGAAATTGATATGTTTTTTTGTGCAATCATACAAAATGTAGTTGAAATAGTATAGTTTATAGCACAAATTAAAGTAACCTTTTTGAACGAGCCCGCTCCCTTTTTACTTTTGCTTTCGCTGACCACTAACCAAAGATCGTCTATAATAAAGATTAACCACCACGAGATTTCCTCCATTCCAAGCAGTAGCTCTCATTTCCCTCTTAGAAACGGAGGGATAGGATTTTCAGTAAAGAATTACATGTGATATTTCAGTCAGAGTCGAAGGCTTGAATCCGACCTCTGCCTCCTTTCCCGCATGTTATTCCCACTCTCTCTCTCTCCCTGATTTCCGACTCTTTCCACTGTCCTGTCTCTACAATAAAGGCACAAAAAGCCCACAATAAACCTTAAAAAAAATCCTGTGAACATCCAAAACTTAGAAATCCACTGATGTATTTTCACTGACTAATACGTTAACAGTAGAACTCCAAACCTTATGAGATTGAGAAATGAACCTTCAAACCGACAACCCTTTGGAAGACACTTTAGCTCAGTTGAGGGAGCAGGCCGCCCCATGGGCTACAGTCCTTGAGGAATCGACTGCAGATTCAACTCCAAAGCTCAGACCTGCGATGCATGTCGACTGCAAATTTCCTGTCTCTTCAGCTGTCCTATCAATAAAGGTTAAAAAGGCCAACAAAGAAATATCTTCACAGTCTAAAACCAATCCAATCCTTTTCTCTTTTTGTTTTTAGCTGCAAGACCCTCAGCCGGAGCAACTGGTGTAGATACCACATCGATGGTAGGAGGACACGTCGTATAAGGCTGTCATGAAAGAAGTCATGGATCATATCTTCAGTAGCTGACTGTAAAGGTCACTTTGTAATTCACCACAGAGGTGGATATTTCAAACAAGCCAAACTTTTCTGATCTAAACAGAGTTCAGGCTCAAGAAACAGAAAGCTGATAATTGCTACTAATGAGTATAAAGGAATATTTTGACGAGTTGAAAAGATGTGCATTATTTTTATGGGTTAGATGAGAATATTTATACCACTATGATATAAGTAGAGTTGGCTTCAGCTAGATTAGCATCAGGACTGGAGGTAAGGGCAAACATCTTGATGGCTAAAAAAAAGCTGTCTTCCAGCAGATCTACAGCTCACTGGCTGACAAGTAGGGCTGCACAATATTGGAATAAAACAGACAGTGTGGTATTTTTTCTCTTTATGATATATGTTGGATATGAAAGTGTAAGTAATGCTAGATAATCAAAGGTAATCTACACACAAACAGTAATTACAGATGATACTTTTTAAAGCACTCTTTAAGAATAAGATCGCTCCTCTTGTAATATAGAAATGAGAGAACCCTTTTCTCTTCTTCTAAACAATACATTTTCTTTCTTTTCAACAAGTGAAGTCAGGCACAGAAAATAGTGTCTGATCCTACCTTCTTTCTTCACTCTGAGTTTCAGCTTTTCCCCTCTGGGTGAAGATTCAGGGTCCCTCAGACCCGGCTGAACAGTTACAAACATTCATTTGTGCCAATGTCCGTTAATATTCTGAATGACAGGTAATGTAGGATGTGCCCAGGGTCCGTGCAATATGCCAAATGTTACTGCTGCAAGAAGGTGTTTTTATGTATATGGAATTGTTACATGAAATGCTTTATGTTTTGTATGATCTATATTTATGTATTTTCACTCTCTTGTAACTGCAGGACAGAGTCCAAAAATGATTTCCCTTTGGGGAAGATAAAGTAAATCTTGATCTTGATATCTTGATCTTGAAGTCGGCCCCTGCTGGCCATTACAAAGAATGCATGTCTAATGCACCTCCATGTTGGCTTATTTTGGGGTTTTTAGAATATGCCAACTATTTTCTGCAGACTAAAGTTATCAAGTTGGCTTTATGTTATCTCAAACTACAAACAGTCCTTGACTATTTTTTTCTCCTTTCTCTCAGACCAACACTTTGTGGATAAATATCAACTCCAGCTCACCGACAGAGTGAGCCACATGGATCCCATTCTGGATCGGCTCCTCGATAGAGGTGTCCTCCAGCGTGAGGCTTACGATACAATCAGAGCTCTGCCGACCTCTCAGAAGAAGATGAGAGAGCTCTACTGCGGTTGCCTGCAAGCTGGTGCTGCTAGCAAAGATATCTTCTACCAAATCCTTCTGGAAAATGAGAAATTTCTCATTGACGACCTCAATACAAAGCACTAAATGTTGGGGTGAAATCTTTTTTAGACCAAAACCAGTTTTTAATACATGAATAATTGGGAAATATTCATTGCAATGTTATGTCTCTATGTGGGTTTCCTATTTGACTTTTGACCAGATTCAGCAAATATGATGATCATGCAAAAATAATGAACACAATTTATAATTGAAGAGCTCTCCTTTTTTAACCTCATTAATTGATGTGAATTAAAACCGAATTATATGAATTCTGCCAAATGCTAAAAGATTGTTTTTCCAAGTCTTTTTTTAAATACATTTTCATAAACACCATAATATCATAACACAGTCGGGGAATAGAGTACAGAGCTGAAATTTACCGTTGACTCGTCTCTACCTCATGAAAAGCTGCTGCCAGTTTCGCTAAGCCAGTCAGATGTGCGTTTCTTGCAAAGGGTGCACACCGTTCTGAATGTTTTACTAGATGTTCCCGGCATGTATATCTATTAACCCCATGAGTTTGGTGACGATACGTTGGGTCGTTATGATTTTATGAATTATCAAAGTTAAATGACCATGTAATAATCCTAACTCGGCCTACGAAGCTGCTGATCAGTGTAGCTCCCAATCAACAGCGGGAACTAAAGACTCGCTGAAAGTTTGGTGGGATTCGGACCATGCTACGTCATGATATTAATTATAACTTTTTTACCCTACAAGGATACTGTTACATTTGGATGGTGTTTAAAAATGTCTGCTTCATTGAAACGTTTTCTAATCTTTAATAAAACATTCAAATTTGTATGTGTGGTTTTAATATGTTGAGTGTGAAGTCTCTTTAAAATTGTAAAGTAAATACAGTGATGTAGAATTCACTCCTGTTTCGACCTTTACCTACAAGTAAAAAAATATATATATTTTCATCTAAATATTGATTGTTTCCGTATCTCTTCAGAGAAGTTCAAGTCCTTACAGTCACATTGTTGTAAAGTTGGATGTTGTAAGAAAGAAAATATTCAAATTTTAACTTTTTCAAATACAGTTTTAAAACTACAAACATGTATACAGTGGTATGTACACCAACTATGAATAACAAGATGTATTCGTTCATTCATGTGATGTAAGAGTGTACTGCACACGCATCTATCTTTCACATTTTTAACAACTGTTATTTGTTTATAAGCGATCAGTAAACTGGAGGTTGGTTTTGAGGAGCAAAGGGGCTTTGTTAGATAAATAGAGACAAAGAAACACGTTTTACATTAATCATTATTTACATTAATAAAGTTTCATATAAGATCATTAATGATCTTCGTGTTTGGAAAAATGTTATGTGTTCTGATATCCCTATAATTTAGAACCTAATAAATCATTTTTAGTGTTCCTAGGACATTTTAAAGTATTTGTGTTTATAAAATACAGAGTTCATTATCGGATTATCAGTAAAAAAAAAAAAAAAGCCCACAAATAGGCCTCATCAATGGACAATTCAATATTAAAGCTTTTTGCATGTAGAAATTGTCCTCATGGTTTTAAGCAGACTGCAGGTTGTTTGTGTTATCAGGTAAAATAAAGAGACTAAACACTATTACTGTGTTTGTATTTCATTAGAAATAACACAGTGCGTATTTGTGCAGACACAAACAGCTGTTAAAGCTGACTGACAGCTGAACATGATCAGCTGATGTCATCGTCACTAAGGTGGGATGGACCATAGACTGTAAACAGCAGGGATATCATAGCTCTTAAAACATATTTCCTCTCGCCTCTGCTTCATTTCCTTGCATCTCTCCGCGCATCTCTGGTTGGAGGGACTCAGAGGAGAGGCAATTAATGGAACTGAGACGTATCCTACCCAAAAGCTACGCAGCACAGGGCTATTTTCGACATCCTGGTAATAGATGAGCAAAAGGTAGACATGTGACTGGGCTTTAAACTTGTTCTTTTTTAAGAGTTGATAATTACTAAAAACATTTTGATGCGTGGAAAGACAGAAACAAGGTGAGTATTATTTTATCAACGTCTGAACCAAGGGGCAACCTCCGGTCTCGAAAAATGAAGCCTATGCGGAAGTACAAAAAACTGCAGTTCCTCGAGGTTCCGCTTGAGGCTGGCTGCAGAAGCGCCGGAAGTGCCATAAGCCCACAGCCAAAAAAGCCCGTTTTTACCACAGGAATCAACATGTTTACAGCCTGGTTCAAAAAACGAGATATATCTGAGAAGTTGACGGCCCCTTCTCCTCACACTGTGGGGGGGGGGGAATTTTTTTATAACTCATCGGATTTTATTCTATTAAGGAAAACGACTATGCCCATATTTGGTTGTGTCAGATTTGATTGACAGCTCTGCGCGGTCAGCAGTCAGAGGCTAAAGCTTGATCCGTCTGATTTCTCCTCTTTCTTACTTCGTTTGGAGAGTTTGTTTAACACATATCTGACAACATACATGGCTTGCTGTGCGGTTAACAGACCATCCAACAAGTTGATGCTTCAGTTTTTTTCGGTAAGAGATATAGTAGTGTTATATTTACTGCTTACTCGTATTTATATTTACGGACCTAGCTTGTTTAGCGTTAGCTTGTAAACCAGTCGGCTAACTGTGTAGCTCATTATTTACATTATTTACGGTCAATGGTTTAGAAATGTTGTTGTTAAGATGTTGTTGTTGAAAATAATGAGTTTGTGTGATGTTAGAAGCTAAAGGTTCATCTCGGTGGTTATCTGACGTTATGATGAATGTTATACTTCACCTAAATGTGGACATTAAAAAAACAAACTTTGTGTAGTAATTATCCGTCAGTAACATAAACTGAACTGAACCTAATGTGCTGTGTAGGTTATAGAGGATGACATTAAAGTTACATGGTTGATGTAGTGTCTTAAGGTTTGAGCAAACTGTTAACAAATAAAAAAAATGCACTTTGTAGCCAGCATCTTAACCATTAAGAAACTATATTAATAACCATATTAATTTTCACTGAACTCATACACAGAACTATAGCAGTAGAAATATCAATAACATATGAAATATGTATGAAAATAAGATTTAAAGCACATAGATATAAAGTATAAGAAATAGTTTTGAAGAGTACAGCCATGTACTGAGCTCATGTTAATAATAAATGAGTTACTGTATGTTCTGTACTAAACACAGAGAGTTGGGACCTGTTAATGATTTAATAATTCAGGTTATATTTGTTTCATGTTAAGATAAGTACTATCCACAATAAATTGCTTAATTTTTCCTCACCCAAAATCTGAGAGCAATTGATGTGGAATATCATTGTGTGAGTGAGAGAGCTGAAAACAGCATGATTACAATAAGGTTTTTTTCTTAACTTTGAATAGATGTTGATTACCTGAATACTGTACCTTTGTTGTCTGGGTAGTACACTGTTGAATTTATAAATGTGCTCTTACCACACAGATGAATACAGAAAAATAGATGAGAACAAACAAAATGATTTAATGAATAACTGATATTTTCTCTCTTTCTTTGCCATCCTGAAGACCCTCTCACTAAAAGTCCATGTTCTCCTGGATCCATGTCACATGCTCGAGCTTCTTCTGAATGACTTTTCAACAGTCGAAGTTCTGCTGAGAGAAGATGGCCAAGCAGAAGGACAGCAGTACATCAACGAGCTCCACAGCTTCAGGAGAGGAGGAGGGTTTGCACCTTGAAGACTGTATCATGCTGTTCAAATAAAAATAGATCTCTCCAAACAACTGCAATCAAA